TGATTATTGTTTCTGGTCTGTTTGGTTTCCTGGATGCTGCTTCAATCTGTCTGACCTCATGTTCATCATTGACCTCTCCAGTTCCTCCCTCTGTGATGTAGAGCTCTGTGTAGATCTGGTTCAGAGGGGTTGGACTTCCTGCTTTAGAGATTCCTTCAAACACAGACTGGAACTTCTTCTTCAGACCAGATTTAAGTTGTAAAACTGCAGCAAGATCTAAATGAACATAAAAAGAAGATTCTTTGAATAAATAATGAAATATCTGCAGACATCAGTAAATCTGTAATTTATCCATCAGATTAAATCTTTGTAAAATTCTTCTTACTGATCTGCAGACGGTCAGCCAGCTCATCCTGATTCATCATCTTCAGGAAGTTCACTGTAATCTTCATCAGTGCTTCTCTGCTGCCCTCATCCTCACTTCCCAACACCTTCTCATCATCATTTTTCTGACTCTCTGACCATTTTGGGTCATCCGGACTCAATTTTTTCTGGATCTTTTTCAGTTCATTTTTCACAAACGTGACAATGTTTTCCTCCAGCAGCTGGTGCAAAATGACATATGAAGAACATATGAGACTGAGATCATGGAGCAAAACATGAAAATTATGTTGGACAGAATGATGGTCCTCTGGTCCACAAGTGAAGCTAGGAGTTCACTTTGGAGATAATTGACTAAACAGCAGTTTTCCATTTACAAACCATAAATATGGAGTCCAGCTGAGTTTGATGCTGAGGATCAGATGGACAACTAGGAACCTCTAGGTTCTGTTTGTCCACTCTGTGGAAAAAACAGGAACAATTAGGAAGAAAGGAAATATTCCTCCAGAAGTTTTCAGTCATAAAAGTATCAAGAGCTTCACGGTGAAAGTCTTTAAAAAAGAAAAATAGATTTAAATCTACAACATAAAAAGAGGTTAGAACGATGAAGAGGATATAAAAGGATGAAGACTAGAAGCAGCAGAAATTCTCCATTAGACCTTTTAGAAAGGTCAGATATATGTTTGTCCATGCAGGGTTCTGTCCTGGATAAGATTCCCAGTAGGTCAGTGGAAACCACTGAGCTCACATTATTTATTTCCACATTGATAAAAAACAGAGGGTTAAAGTAAAATGTTGCAGAGAATCACATGTTCCAGGTAGCAATAAAGTCTTAACAAACTAGGACTCAAATCCTAAACTCTGAATCGATCTAATCTGAGGTTAGAAACTGTTTCATAACAGCTGCTGTGAGTCAGTTTAATCAATTATAAGTCGGTCCACTCAGAGTTGAAAACGTGGGCTCACTTCGCCGACTCACAATGACAACAGGCAACAGGAAATCCCTATTTCACACCACTGATAATAAAAAATGATAATAATAAAGAATTATATAAAAAAAAATATATCACAGAATTTGTTTAAAAGAGAGTGATCTCAGTGCTACAGCAGCAAAGGAGATGGAGATGGTAGGAGAAGATTGCTGCTCGAGTTAATGCGTAAGATAATGTGTAATCTGTTATGGTAGATTGTTTTTACATTTATTAAAAGCACTCTCATCTCTGTTGTTCCATTTGTAGATCACTGAAAGGGATAGTTTAGGGTTTTGGACATGAAGCAGATTGAAAAATTCACTGAGATGCACCAGTGTCCCTACAATAAAAAAGCCTCCTGCTCTGAGAAACGGTATGAAAAGGCAGTTATGTTTTTTTACCTGTTGTTTAAATTTTTTGGGGTGTATTAAAGAAAAAAAGAAAAAAAAAAACACTTTTACTTTAGACTTTTACAGACATAATTCAAAAACACAAAATTACCCACAAAAAAACAAATAAGAAAATAGCTCAGTGGCCAATTTTGCTTTATTATGATGATTTTCAGAACACAGAAAAATATTTTTTTGTATTGCAAAGATTTTCCCCTAAACTGACGATTTTAATTTGAATGTATCTTTTTATTGTTGCAGTTCCTGATCAATTAATTTTCATAAAAATATCAGCTTGTAGCTACAACCCCAGTCCCATGAAAAAACCCAAGTC